CCTTTCCCAGCACAGGTCACATGACTTTGGAGCCTCTCTCGACTCCATCTCTCAGAGCCACTCAAGTGGCTGGACTTCTGAGGTCCCTCGAAAGCTGGAGAGGATGAGAAAATCTCCCCAGCCTTGCCCTTTGGGACCTCTGGGCCACTGTTCCTTCTCTTCCTCTGTCACGTACTGTCCCTGCTCATGGATGAGAAGCACCCGTGACACAAACTCAGTTGACAGTGTTGACCTAGCATACACAGAGCCCTGGGTAGCATCCCTGGCAAGGTGTCCAACTGGATGTGGTCCTATAGGCCTAGAATTCAGCACTGTGATCCCAGCAGGAGGTTCACAAGTTTAAGGTCACCCTAGACTACATAGCAAATTCAAGGCCAGTCTGGAATCCAGAGACCCCAGCTAAAATATAAACCAATGAGTGGCAGTTGGTTGCTTGGCTTGGATCTCAGTTCAGAGGTCTGGGCCTACAGCAGTGCTGGGAATTATGTACACATAAGCAATGTCGAAGACCAGACACCTGGCTAAGACCAGTGTGTTGGCCATGAAGGGGTAATTTGATCCTTCAATGGACCCCCAGACTCCACCTCCTGTCTGCCAATATGCTCCCATAGGCCAGAGCATCAGTGAAGACTGTTGTGAGGTGACACTAACAACCTGCTCTTCTTTCTCCCCCTGGTCCCCCCCCTTCTGCCCTTTTACCCCCACCCACCTCTGAACTCTGCTCCTTTTCTCTTGGCTCCGCCTCCTGCCCCTCCCCTTCCGCCTTCTGAAATTCCTGTGTGCTCTCTGCCCCAAGGTGAAGGTCTGGTTCCAGAATCGCCGAACTAAGCAGAAGAAGGACCAGAGCAGAGACCTGGAGAAGCGGGCATCCTCCTCTGCCTCCGAGGCCTTTGCCACCTCCAGCGTTCTGCGGCTTCTGGAACAGGGCCGGCTGCTCAACGTGCCTAGGTCCCCCAACCTCCTGGCACTGAGCCCTGGCCTTCCAGGCCTTCCTGCCAGCCACAGGGCTACCTCCTTGGGTGACCCCAGGAACTCCTCCCCAAGCCTCAATCCAGTGCCCTCGGCCTCAGCATCGTCCCCTCTACCGGCCATCTGCTTCTCCACAGCCCCGCTCCTGGACTTGCCTGCCAGCTACAAACTGGGGTCCTCGGCGTTTGAGCCGTACATAAGGCTAGAACAACAGAAAGTAGGCAGCCCTGGCCAAAGTGGCAGGAAAGCGGACACTTAGGTCCCATCCCCATGTGACACTGAGTCCCCAGCCCAGCACTCCCCCAGCCTCCTGGCCTCTGTGGACTGTACTGAGCAGGCCTGAAAGAGTAGGGGTGGGCACAGCATGCACCTCTCCACAGGCCCGCAGCTCAGAGACTGAACCAAACGACTTTGGTCCCAATGTACTCTCTGGGGTGTGTGTGTGTGTGTGTGTGTGTGTGCGCGCACGCGTATGCGTGTGCATGTGTGTGTGCATGCATGTGTGCTTGTGTGTGTGTATGTGTCTCACTGAAATAAAGGGAACTGGTCCCAGCAGCACCAACTCACCCCCTTCTGTCTTTGTCCTCAATGTCCAGAAAAAAGGGATCCTCAAAAGGGAGGGGTAGGCACTGGGGCTGGTGTCCACAGGCATGGGTCTACCATTAATGCAGCTTTCTTTCGGCCTCCACAGCCCCTACCACACCTGAGCCTTCTCTGGTTAAACATTCTCCTGTGTAAGCGTTTCTTTCAAACTTCAAAACACTTGTTGGGGTGGGCAGGAAGTCCTTCCAGGCGGTGAATGAGGCAAGGTGAAAGGAGACCTGGGAGGGCATCAAAGGAAGGCCAGAGCAAGGCTGGCCTGGAGAGAGGACCTGTGCAATACGGAGCACTCAGAGAAGTCTCGTTTTGCTCACTTTGCTCTCATTTAACTTTTATTTGTAATAGCTAGAGATTCTCAGGAAGTGGTTGGCTCACTATACTCTGACTTTTCTAGTTCCTATGACAAAGCATGTAGCAGAAGCTGGGTGACGGAGGAAAGGCTTAGCTTATTGCTTGAAGGTGCAGTCCAGCTTTACAGGAAGGCATAGCCACAGAAGCAAGGCGGATGGTCACATTGCACCCAGGAAGCTGGGACAAATGCTGGTGCTTAGCTCCCTTTCTCATTTTTCTTCAGTCTGGGAGTCCAGCCCAAGGACTGATGTCACCCACGTTCAGGGTGTGTCTTCCTCCTTAGTTGAAACTCGGGAAATGCCCTGACATATGCCTAGAGGTATGTAGAGTAGAGGTGACCCTAAACCCCGCTGAGGTGACAATCGCAGTTCTCCATCATCACCCGCCTCTGCTAACGTGGTACATAAATGTCACTTTTAATCACTCTAGATGCTCATGTTCATCTCACAGTGTGAAATGTGTTTAGTCTATCTCCACAAGTCCCTAAATCTTCACAATCCCACAGTAGTTTAAAAGTGTGGAGATTCAGACAAACTCTTAACGGAAAGAGCCTATTTTTGAAGAATTACACACTTTCAATATACAATGGCACAGAATAAATGTTTCCATTCCAAAGGGGATGAATGGGACACAACAAGGAAAGAATGGGCCACAGCAAGACCAGAACCCAGCAGGGTAAATAGAAATCCTGTAGCTCTGGCGTCTGGGCCCAAGTATCCAGGCAGGGATATGGAGGTGCCGATGAATGACCTTGAGTAGCCGTCTCTTAGTTCTGCCACTTACAGACATATAAGCAGCTGTCTTGAGCTAACTCCACGCTGTGCTCACAGAGTTCCTCAACAAATGTTCATGGCCCTAGCGTCTCCATTACAACTTAAGCTTTACCCTCAGAGATCCATGCAACAGCTTCTCTCAGGGCCTCCTGATTTAAACCCGCCACACATGGCCTGGCCCAAACAACTTTCTAGAACCTTGGTGCAAACCCCCATGACCGTAACTCTTGCAGTTTGCATGTCCGTAGCACCAGCAACATGTGGGTGCTGCTGCCAAGTTCTGCCATGAGCCTATGATGTGGTCTGGCCCTTTCTACTGCAGCGTTAGTGGCCTCTGTGCTCTTCAGCAGTCAAATCTCAGAGAACTCTTAGGGGCTCCTCAGCTCAGTCTCTCTTCTTTCAAATGAATTTGCATTTTCACAAGTCGGAGAGTTTGATGGGTGGGCTTGCCCTCAGGGCCCATTTCCTATTGTCCCAGTGCTTAAGACTTGAGCAGTAACCATGCAACAGCCTGAATGCTGTCCTAATGTTTTAATTACTTTTCTATTGCTGTAATAAGATACCACAACAAAAGAAATTTATAGATGAGTTTATTTGGGGTTCATTGTTGTAGAGTTAAGAGTCATGACCATCATGGTAGGGTACATGGCATCATGCAGGCATGATACTAATTGGTGTATGCCTTTAATCCCAGCACTCAGGAGGCAGAGACAGGAGGATCTCTGTGAGTTCAAGACCAGCGTGGTCTAAAAGAGCAAGTTGCAGGACAGACTCCAAAGCCACAGAGAAACCCTGTCTCGGGAAGAAAAAAAAAGCAGCAGTTGAAAGCTCATACACAGATGGGCAAACAGGGAGAAGCAGAGAGAGAGCACTGGGAATGGTGCAAGCCTTTTGAGACCTCAAAGCCCAGCCCCAGTGACATACCTCCTCTAACTAAGCCACACCTCCTAATCCTTCCCCTAGTATTCAAACATGTAAGGCTACAGGAGCCAGTCTCATGCAAACCTGCCATGAGATTTCCTCTGCCAAACAGATGAGTCTATCACTTCTAAGTTCAGTCTCACTCAGATTCTCAGGATACAGGCAGAATAAATTCAGATTCTTTTTCAGAATAAAATATGAATCACTTCTAGCCCATTTAATCATAAAGGCCTCGTTCCCCTCTGAAACTTCATGTGCTAGCTTCAACTATCCATATATTTCTCAGCATTCTAGTCTTCCACCAGATGGCCAGTTTCACTCTTCTTAGACCATTCTAGTGCTTCATTAGACTGCAGCTGAAAATCTCATCCACATTCCTCTCACAAACCATTTGCAGAGGCCTACAAAACCACATGGCCGGGTTTGCAGTAACAAGTCCACTCCTGATGCCAGTGTTCTGTGTTAGTTACTTTTTCATTGCTATGACAAGGTACCTGTTGAAGGATGAGTCTATTTTGGTTCATGGTTTGAGGCTGTACTATGGTAGGAAAGGCTTTTGGTGGCAGGAGTTGGGGGAGATGTGTATATTTCCTAGATGTTTCTAAGTCCTGTCAAACTGGCAGTCAAAGTTAACCATCACACCTAACTACCCACAATGGTAGCATTTTTAATATCTAGCATATATCACACAGAAAAAGTAACGCTGGGACCATGGGAGAAAGTTCACATCATCTCACCTGCTGTGTAGACTCATGGAAGCATGCAAGCAGGACTCTGCTCCTTCGTAGCTACACCCAGCCCCCAACAGAAGAGTTCTTTGACAGAATGGGATGCGTGAGACAGGAGCGGAGACCTGAAATGGACCAGTGCTGGCAGGAGTGATCAGGGAAGACAGCTCAGACTGATCCAAGCAGCATGGTAGCTTCCTGCAGGAGGTGATCTGTAGCTGGCCATGAGATGAACCTTTAAAGACAATGAGGAGATAGAATGGAGAGGAAGGGTTCCCAGTATGGCTCAGGACACAGGGTGCAGGTTATGAGGACCGTGAGAAGACAATCTGCCAGAAACAGGGCATGAGGAGACCAAGGAGTGTTATAGTGAGGGACAAGGGCTTGTTTGAAGGAGGTAAAGCTGAAGCCACACTCACTGTGGGAACTGTGCAGAGGGACATTTGGGCACAAAAGTTAGAAAAAATGTCGCACACCTTTCTCTGTCCTTCATTGCAAGCTTTCAGCACTCAGGGGGCCAGACTGTACGTGAGAAACCTCGGAGCTGGTGCCTGCCAGCTTCCCTGTTTGCAGTCAACCTGGCAGGGGTGGGGGGAGCCGGGACAGAAGGAAGGGGAGGGGCGGCTGCTGGCACAAGCCGAGCCGCCTGCTCCGGCGCCAGCTGGAACTGAATTCAGTCTTGGAGTTGCCACCAGTCTTCTCGGGCGCTGACTCCCAGCTCTCCACACACCATGGCCACGAAAGTAGACAGCAAATCTGGGAGGTTCACCAGCAATAGCTGTGACTCAGTCACAGCTCGAGAGCACGTGCAGGCTGTGACCCGAAACTACATCACCCACCCCCGTGTCAGTGAGTATTCATGTCCAGCTGGTGAGGGGAGTGGGCTGCTGGGAATCTGCTTTTGCCTTTGAAAAGGATGGCCAAGATCTAGGGAGATCAGGGGCCTCTGGGGCCAGTGGAGCCGTGCAGTGGCACAGGCTGAGCAGGGGTTACCTCTGCAGGTGGAGGGATGGCGGTCCCCATTCAGGCTGAGGAGAGGGCTGGGGAGCAACTGTTATCCTCAGGATCCTAGCTAACATTCAAGGTCCAGAGAGAGCTTGAGAGAGAGAGACGGTGGAGAGAGAGGAAGGGAATGAGAACACATGTGGGCCTGTGGGTAAATGGATCTGCAGTGACGTGTAGCAGTATCATCAGTGGCACTGAGGGATTCAGTAACCAGTGTGCTGTGCCTGTAATGGCCTCCTAGAGGAGAGGATCTGGATATAGAAGCACGTATTAGAAGGGCATTCTCCACAGGGAGGGTAAAATGTGTGTGTGAGTGTGTGTATGTGTGTGTGAGTGTGTATATGTGTGTGTGTGTGTCTGGGTATATGTATGTGGGTCTGGGTATGTGTATGTGTATGTGTGTGTGTGCTTGTACACACAGGGTGGAGGTGAGGTGTGTATGTGTGTTATGTGTGTGCTCCTGGATATAATGTGCATGTATGTTCAAGGAGAGAGAACGCATGTGGATTTATGCTTACATGATATATGAGAACACATGTAACTGTGGTAGTGTGTACTGCTGGGGTAGGAACATGCACTTGTTCACACACGGTATGCCTTTCTCAATTTGTCAGTAGGCAACTCTGTGCCTGATGTGTAAGTGTAAGCCAAGCCAATGCCAGGGACAGAAAACCTGGCAAGGTCTACAGGGCCAAAGCCATCCCCCATGTTCTTGTCCAAGGTCACTCTCCCTGGCCCAGTAAAGTCTCAGGCAGCCCAGCTTACTGGAATAAACCAGCTGAGTGGCCCCAGCTGAGCAGGGCCTGAGGCTCCTACAGGGGTGCTGGGGGATGGGAAGGAGCTAGACACAGCCATCCTTCTTCACCCTGACTCCAAAGCTACCCAGCCCCACAGGGCATCCGGTAGCTGAGCTCAGAGTGAGCAGGGTGCAGCAGAGCCCTGGGTGCTGGGCCAGCTAAGCCTGAGACCCATAGAGTATGAACCAGCTAGGGAGAAAGGTGAAAGGGGGCAGGCCGGGTTTCTCAAGGTGGCCTGAAGGCCCTGCCTCATGGACACACAGAGTAGAGAAAACCTCTAGGCAAAGGCTTGGGTCTCCAGGGCCCAGAAATCAGTGGAGAGAGGGGCCTCATTATGCCCAGGGTTTGCGCCATGTGATACCCTGCCCCTGCAGGCCCAACCACCTGTGGGCAAAGGAGAGCTGCCAGGTTGGGTGGGGCAGGAGTCTGGACCTCCAGGCTCAGCTTTCCTTCTGGAATGTGGCCTTGCAGGGATCTACAAGGATCTCCTGGTACAACCTTTGTGCAGTCTCCTCACCCCACCTTTGCTTCCAGCTAGCTGGAAGCTCGAGCTAGGGCAGCCTTCACCAGCTCCTTCCTCCTGCTAGCTAGTGTTTATTGTCAACACCCTGCAGGTTCTCTCTCTCCCTCCCTCCCTCTCTCTCTCTCTCTCTCTCTCTCTCTCTCTCTCTCTCTCTCTCTCTCTCTCTCTCTCACACACACACACACACAAGATCACACCATCAGTGACAGAGCAAAGGCTACAGAAGTGTGCCCTCCAGGCTCTGCCATGGTACCCTACCTTATCACAGGATACCCGAGGGCCTGGACTAGCCCTCCAGGACACCTTCCTAACCTAGCTCAGCCTAGTTCCCCATACCCCTCCAGCCATCTAGGGTACCTGGGTGGAGAGTTCTTCCGGGGAGATGTGGCCAAAGGTAGGAATCCCTCCCCCAAAGCTGTTGCCTCCCTGACAAGACAGGTATGCTGTGCCGCCCCCCCCCCATTCCTCCTCCAGCCAGGCCCTCCACTCTCAGACTCCAGGCACTAGTTTGGGCTGAAGAAGTAGAGAGGGAGCCTAGGGCCAGCCCAGACGTCAGCGGTCCTAGGCATAGAGGTAGTCTGGCCATCCCAGGGCACAGCTGGGGCTGGAAGGGTAACTTAATGCTGGGCTGAGGGACAGAAAGGAGGGGGAGGACAGAGCTGGGGCTGGACATGAGTGCTGGCAGCATCCTCCTTGGCAAGCGGGGCCCCCCTTCAGTGGAGGACCCCCACCCCCCAAAGGTGGCTTTGTGGGATCCCGGGGTCGATGTGGAGCACTGCATGTGGGGTGCACAGCTCGTGCAAATGTGCAAAAGGACAAGGACCAGTGGTTGGAGGGATGCAGCCGTGGGAGCAGTTCACCCGGGGTTTGAGAGCCAAAGGGCAGGGAGTTCCGTAGAGTCCTAACATTCTAACACCCCCACTTCCCCCCAGTGCTGACCCCCTCGCGGCCCCCCAGCAGGATGTGGGTGGAGGAACAGGGCCTGCTGCCCTAGGCTTGCCCCCACCATGGCCTCCAGCCTGCTCGGGGGAGGGGGAGCGGCAGGACACTGCAGGTGTGGCTGGTCAGGCGCTAATTAGGACCTTGGAGGAGCCCTGCTGAGCCTTTGACCAGGAAGGCTGGGGGGAGGTGGGGGTAGGGAGCTCTCTTCCACACTGCAGCCCCCAGTATCAGAGACAATGGGAAGGGGTAGGCAGTGGGGGAGAGTGTCTGCTGAGTCTGGGGAAAGCACATTGAGGGAGAGAATGCCCTGAGGTCAGTGAGCCATCGATCTCCGGGCAGCTCATCACCCTGTGTCTTTCTTCAGGGTCAAGTGGGACTTCCCTGGGTGGGCAGTGCCTTAATCCCTCAGTGCCCCAGAACTGGCTGAACCTCTCCACTTTAGTTTATCTCTCCATGCTAGGAACACAGTCAGGGTTCCCACCAGCCAAGGACATCTTTGTTGTTCAGTGTCCCTTTGCCTGAGTCCTAACTGGACAACTTAAGGGTGGGTGTCCACACCTATGAAAGCAGGAGATCGGACTGGATGTAAGAGTGAGCTGGAAGGAAGCCAGGACTGTACAGTGAATCCTTCCCTCCCCCATCCCCCCTCTTTCTGTCTCTGTCTCTCTGTCTCTGTCTCTCTCTGTCTCTCTCTGTGTCTCTCTGTCTCTGTCTCTCTGTCTCTCTCTCTTACACACACACACACACACACACACACACACACACACACACACACTACCAACAACAACAACAATAAAATCCGAAACCAATCCAATAAAACCAGATGGCTCTGAGAAACGGTCTAGTCTTGTGTTGGGGTCTACAATCCCTCAGGGTGCCAGTCTGTGGTGCTGGGGATTTCTAAGGGAGAAACACGGCAGAGATAGGCAAGGGCAAGGCCTGAGAGCTTGTTGAATAGAAACTGGTACTCAGTAGTTTTCTGCAGTGAGGCCACAATGCAGAGAGCTGTGCCCTTCTCCAGCCACTCTGATATTGACCCCAATCCCTTCCTTCATCACTCAGGCAGGGTGCCCAGCATTGCCCCCCAGTCCCTTCCTCCATCACTCAGGCAGGGTGTCCAGCATTGCACCCCATCCTTTCTTCCTTCACTCAGGCAGGGAGCCCAGCATTGCCCCCCAGTCCCTTCCTCCTTCATACCAGGCAGGGTGCCCAGCATTGCACCCCATCCTTTCTTCCTTCACTCAGGCAAGGTGCTCAGTCTCCAATCCCTAACCTCCATCTCCAGGTACCCTCTCTCCAGGGAGAATTGCTGGGCTACAGGGCTAACAGAGATTTCTCAGGATGAGCTGTGAAGTCATGAAGTCTGGGAGCAGGCTGTCAAAGCAGAAAGCAGAAAGGCCCCAAGGCTGTGAAACCGGAAGTGATCCTTTTGGGCTCTGTGGCTCTCTTCTCTCCTGAGACAAGACACCCACTCTGGCCCCCACTCCCTGTAGTCTCTTGATCCCAAACTTACTGCTGTCTTCCTGCAACTCTATGGATCCAGCAAAATGCCAGCTCTCCCCAGGCTTGGAAACATTCACCTGCCAGTCCAAAAGTTTCCCCACCCTGGTCGGGTGCTGGTCCTGGCCCGGCCTCTGCTGGTTTCACCAGCTCCACTCGATAGCATCCTCACAGTGTAAATTCCATCCGAGAGTCTGTCATGCCCCCCACCTGACACCCGCCACCCTCGCCGACCCCCACCTTCAGTACAATACATATTCTTTCTCTTCTTTTCCACTGTGCTCCTCGGCAGTCAGGAGCTGGGGGTGTGGCCCTTGTGCTGGGCATCAAGACTCCCATTTGGCTTGGGGCCAAGGTGGGGATACCTGTTGGTCCTGTTGTGGGACGTATGGGAATAATGAACTGATAGAACCACTTAGTGCCTTCCAGAACTCAGCCAGCCCTGTGTGCGTGGGGAATGTCAGTCTTGTGCTGAGCATGGCAGAGACCATCTCTGACAGCTCTCCTGACACTGGAAGCCAGCCTAGAGGAGTCCTGAGTCACCTCCCTCCTCTCTGTCCTCTAAGGCCCTGAGCAGCTGGCCATCAGGGGTTCTTTCAACTCTGTCATGGGCACTTTTCCTCAACTCCCTGGGGCTGGATGGAAGGCTCCCCTTAGCTCAGCCCCCCCCCCCCCCACACACACAGCTTGAGATTGCTTCTTCTTGAGCATCCGCTCTGGTCACCAGCCCAGCCCACCCTTCATCTCCTCCACTCCTGGCTTTGCACCTACCTCACCTGCCCATCTTGCCCTCCACGTGGCCCTTCCATCCCACCCGCCCGTCATCTCACCAGCCCATCCTGATCTTTCCCACATTACATCCCTGTAGTTTCCATAGTTTCAGCAATGTCATGCTCTCTTTGGTGCCACTCAACAGACAGAATTTAAAGAAAGGAAGGGAAGAAGAATGGGGGGGCGGGAAGATGCCCAGGGAACAGGGAATGAGAGGGAAGGACTAGAGCCTGGGCTGCTCTGTAAGAGCCCTTCTGTGGGGGACATTGTGGGTTTCTCCCAAGGATGCTAGACATGGACGGAGAGGGAGAGGGTGGCCAGGGGGATGTGCCTGATGATGTGGCCCTCTCGTGAGGGTGGGTGCAGGGGCAGAAGGACATTGAGGAGGAGCCATTGAACACAGGTGGTAGGTCTGGCCTGAGGGACAAATGCAGGGTGGGGAGCTGGCCTTTCACCCCAGGAGGGGCTTCTCCTGGAGCCTGCCTCAGATAAAGGAGGACCTCCTTCAGCAGCAGAGGGAAGAAGGCAGGTAGATGATACAGGGGCAGTAGATAGTTCTGGAAGGGAATGGGGTGTCCTACCCTGGCAGTTCAGGGCTCAACCTTGAGCTTTACAGATAGTCCATACACTAGGACCGTCCTGGCAAAGGCCAGCAGAAGAATGGCTTTATGTGTTTGCTCCTTGTGCATGTGCTGTGAAACATTAAGTGACTGGGAAGGCATACACAGGGACACTGGCTTCCTCTGGGGCCAGCATGCTGTGGGCCATTTGGGGCCGATGGGGGCTCAGGGCAGGCCCTTTCCAAGGTGTGCCACAAGCATGCCAGTGACTTTGAGCCAGGCTTTTTTTCCGTCCCAGGCCCATTAAGCCCACCTCCCCTGAGCTCCTGGGCCTGTGAGTGACCCACCCAGGATCAAGTTCCTTCCCAGCCCAGCGCCCCACTAATCTGGTCTGGCCAAATTACTTGTCTCCATTGTATTACTGGTGGCCCATAGACTCTCTGAGAGAGACTAGCTATGGTACTCCATTGCCACAGTCAAGGGACCACAGCCTCCTCAGAGCCCCTGAGCTAGCCCCAGCAGGACCAAAAGTAGACTTCCTACCTATCAGTCCTTTGATTTTACCCTGGAAGCTGAGCTCTCTTGTGTGTGTGTGTGTGTGTGTGTGTGTATGTGTGGTGTGTGTATGATATGTGTGGTGTAAATGTGGTATGTGTGGTGTGTGTGTATGTGTGTGTGATATGTGTGTATATGTGTGGTGTGTGTGTATATGTTTATGTGGTGTGTGTGATGTGTGGGGTGTGAGTGTGGTATGTATGGTGTGTGTATGTGTTTTGTGTGTATGTGTGTGTGCATGTGTGTGTATATGTTTGTGTGGTATGTATGGTGTGTGTTGTGTGTGTATGTGTGTGTGCATGTGTGTGTATATGTTTGTGTGGTGTGTGGTGTGTGTATGTGTGGTGTATATGTGTGGTGTATGTGTGTGTTGTATGTGTGTATATGTGTGTTGTATGTGTGTATATGTTTGTGTGGTATATGTATGGTGTGTGTATGTGTGTGGTATGTGTGGTGTGTGTGTAGTATGTGTGTGGTGTGTGTATATGTGTAGTGTATGTGTGTGGTGTGTGTGTATGTTTGTGTGGTGTGTGTGTGTATGTTTGTGTGGTATGTGTGTGGTGTGTGTGATGTGTGTGAATGTGTGTGGTGTGTGTGTATATGTTTGTGTGGTGTGTGTAGTATGTATGTGTGGTGTATGTGTAGTATGTGTGTGTGATATGTGTGTATATGTGTGTGTATGTGTGTGGTGTATATGTGTGGTGTGTGTATATGTTTGTGTGGTATGTGTATGGTGTGTGTGTGTGTGTGGTGTAAGTGTATGGTGTGTGTGATGTGTGTGGTGTATGTGTAGTATGAGTGTGTGTGGTGTGTGTATATGTGTGTATGTGTGTATATGTGTGTGTATGTGTGTGGTGTGTGTGTGTATATGTTTGTGTGTGATGTGTGGGGTGTGTGTGCACGCATGTGTGGTGTGTGTATATGTGTGTGTATGTGTGTGGTGTGTGTGTATATCTTTGTGTGGTATGTGTAATGTATGTGTGTGGTGTGTGTGTATATGTTTGTGTGTGATGTGTAGGGGGGGTGTGCATGTGTGGTGTGTGTGGTGTGTGTGTTTCTTTCTGGTATCACCCTCTTCTCCCCAACAGGATGCCCAGTGAGCTTGTGGGACCTGACCAGGGCTTGGTAGAGGAAGCAGAGGCTCATCAGGGCTCATCAGTGCAGGGTGAAGGGAGGGCAATGGGCAATGGGGCCTGGGGATGGGCCTGGAGGCCACAGCTGTGCCCCAGATGCTTTCGGAAAATTCAAATGGAGCTGGGAAGAGGGAGTAGGTGAGGTGGGGGTTGAGGCCAGAGGGGAAGCACATGGGGTGGAGAGCTCAGCGGGCCTGGGCAGGACTCTGAGGAGGCCTCTGCCCTCATGCCCTCCTCCAGAATCCTGCAGGTGTCGGGACAGTGGGGGGTCTGTGGCAGGGGCTTGACCCTTACAGCAATGGTGGCTGGTGCTGTCACAGCTAATGACCCTGATGGCACAGGCTGAGGAGGAGGTGGGGGTGTGTTGAGGGCAGGAGACAGGATGCTCCTCTCTCTCTCTCTCTCTCTCTCTCTCTCTCTCTCTCTCTCTCTCTCTCTCTCTCTCTCTCTGTCTCTCTCTCTGTCTCTCTCTCTGTCTCTCTCTCCATTTCCCTCTCTTTCTCTCTCTCTCCTCTGTGTGTGTCAGCTGTCTGTGTGTGTCTCAGTGAATGTGTGTGTCTCTCTCATGAATGTGTGTGTCTGCCACTGAGTATATGTGTATCTCAGTGATTGTGTATGTGTCTTATTGTGTGTGTGTGTGAGTGAATGTGTGTGCATGCACATGCAGACATTTTCCTTGGAGGTAGAACACAGTAGAACTTAGAGGTAGACCCTCACCCACTCCTCCCCTCCCCAGCCTACAGGACCGTGTGCAGCGTCAATGGGCCTCTGGTGGTGCTGGACCAGGTCAAGGTAAGACCGTTCAGTCTGCTTTCCAGCCCCTAGGCCGTATCCAGGGTTTCTTTTAAGCTGCCCATCCAGAGGCCTTGTTTTCTTCTTTTTAACTGTCACCCCTCAAGTCTCCTGCAATTTCTTCTTCACACTTTGTGTGGCTGTAAAAATCACCAGTACTCTGGGGCTAGGGACTCGGGCTGGGGTGAGTGCTGGCCCTGGAAATCCTGGTCTACCCAGACTGCCTCTCCCTCTCCTTTCTGCTAGAGATCAAACCCAGGACCCTTTCCCTGCCTGATTTTGTTGAGCAGGTTTATTGCCTTTTTTCTTTTAGGCCCAAGTTAGCATTCTCTGACCTGGAATTTCCCTCTTCAGACTAACATCCCTTCCTCTCCAGTGAGAGGACAAACACCGAGGACAGCAATGGTTTCAGAGACTCAGGCTCACAGGGAGCAGAAGAGGAAAGAGCAGGACTTTTGTTTTAGGTTTCTTGTTGTCCCTGTCTCTCTGCTCTTGGGCGCCCTCTTGTGGTTGAGACTCCAACCGGCTGGACTTCCAGTCACCCCGGATTCGGATAGGGGAGGGCCTCTCCTAGAGCAACCCCACCCGCCTGGGCCTCAAGAGGGCTCAGAGAAGGGAACACCTACGTGTTTCTCCTTTCACCAGTACAACCAAAACCGCCATTAGTGGCCGTCATCGCTGCAAATCTGAGCAGGGAAGCCCTGGGGAAACGGCCCACTTTAGTCACTAGTTCAAAGGGCACTTTCCCCAAACTCATAAGGTCAGTAGTGTGTGGCCATCAGGGGACAGATTAACAGCCACGATGTTGATAACTAGACGCACCATAACATGTCACCAAATGTTATTACATTTTAATAACAAAAATAGTACACCGGGCGGTGGTGGTTGCAAACCTTTAATCCCAGCACTGGGAAAGCAGAGACAGGTGGATCTCTGTGAATTAGTAGTCAGCCTGGTCTACAGAGCGAGTTCCAGGAGAGGCTCCAAAGCTACAGAGAAACCCTGTTTTGAGAAAAAAAAATGCTTGCTCCTTGTGCCCAGAGAAACAAAGACAGCTAACCATCTGTCCCTTTGTCTCCACCCCCGTGGGACAGCTGTGTGAGACCTGCAGTCTATGCTCATATTGAGGTGAACAGCGCATGTGCAGAGACACACGTGTATCCCTGCAGGATGGTGGCCTAGCAGGTTGTGTTTCTGGGTATACTGATATTTGTGGCGCTTAATCTCCAATGTCAACTGCATTGGATTTTATAACCACCTAGGAGACACACCACTGGGTGTGTGTGTGAGGGCATTTCCAGGGAGGTTTAATTGAGAATGAAAGACTTGCCCAGAATATGAATGGCACCATCCCATAAGGGGTCCCAGGCTGAATAAAAGGGAAAAGGGAGATCGGATGCTGAGCTCCAGAAGTCATCTGTCCTTGTGACCTCAAGCTCTGTCCCAAGTCTTCCCTCCATGGTGGGCTGCATCCTCTCAAACCAAGAGCCAAAACAATGCCTTTTTAAAGTTGTTTTGCCACAACAAAGAGAAAAAAATGAATATGGATTTATTTAGCAATATCATTCTGTTTACAGGTTCTGCTGTTACAGATAGTTCATGAATACACACCATTTTATCCTGATTCTCTCATTGCTACATAAGAGCTACAGAGGAAGAATTGTGTGTTCAAAAGGAAACTGCATTTATAGATAGATATTGGCAGAAGGTCTGTGCTCAGGAGCAGAGTGAGTGCTCGCGAGGCTCACTGGGGTCTATCATCAGCACCACAAATAAATGCACAGATAGATACTGGTCAGGACAAGAGCGCCTTCTCTGACAGGTGAAGTGATTGGACTCCCCGAAGGTCTGTGGGAGCACCCACCATCATATCCCAGTACACACTGAGTGTGTTCTCATCTGTGACGTTGCTGTAAGCAAGAGCCTCACCGACTGAGCCTTCTTCCAGCCCCCTTCTCCTCTCGCTCCTCTTTCTTTCTTTCCTGCATTTTGTGTTTGTTTTTTGGGACAGGATCTCTTCTAGCCCAGACTGGCCGCATCATTATGTCTGAAGGACAACCTTGAACTCCAGAGCACTTGCTTCAATTTAAGTGCTGGTTCTCTCTGGCTCCATATTCCTTATTTTGAAACAGTGGTTTTTGTCTATAACCATAGAAAGTTAGTAATTGTTTCAAAGCTTTCTCTTTTTTTTTTTTTTTCCTGAGACAGGGTTTGTGTTCTAGAACTTGCTTTGTAGATCAGGCTGACCTGGAGCTCACAGAGATCCATCTACCTCTGCCTCTCTAATACTGGAAATAAAGGCTGCTCCTCCAATGCCCAGCTTTTACTTTCATTTGTGTGTATATGTCTGTGTACATGTCTGTCAACCGGAGTTAGAGGATGCTGTGAACTTTTAATGTTGAGTCATCTCCAGGCCTCCATAGACAATTTTTTTTAACTTTCTCCTCCAGTTTTTGGGATACTGATTTATTAATCTTTTAATTCACTAATAAAATGAACTTCACTGGAAGGCTCCCTGTTAAAGTAATCTTGTATTCCTGAAATCAGTGCCGGGAATTTAATCTTCATTTAAATTTGTTTTCTGATTTGTTTTGCTTTGTTTTCCCTTAGGTTTGGTTTTGTGACTTGGTCTGTTTCTGCATCTCTGGACTGAGTTTGTGAATGGTCAATGAGGATTTTGGGCTCTCTGTCCATGAGCAGACAGCCTACAATTTGCCAAAAAGGGCTTTATTTTGGTGTCAATATCACTTGCCTCATAAAATGAATTAAACCCAGTAACCCTCCCCCCCAGACTTTTGAAACGCTTCAGCAAATTTCAAATTGTTTGTTTTTGCTTATTAGAATTTCCTGGCACAAAACTATGTGGCTGATGCTTTAAACAACTTAATATCTTTAAAATCACAAAATCTTACTCCACAAGTTTAAAAGGAATAAAAATCGTATGTATGAAATGATTTTATATGGTAATTAGCATAATTTAATATCCAATAATGTGAACACCACTCATTTATTTATATAAGTTCATCTTTACCTATAAAAAATGAAATAAACTTGTGAACTAATTGAATTGAGTAAAAGCACATAGAAAAATAACTGTGAAATGGTTAAAAATAAATTACTGAATCAGTCAAGGTGGTACAAGTCTTTAATCCCAGCACTCAGGAGACAGAGGCAGGCAGATCTGTGAGTTCAACTCCAGCCTGCTCTACAGAGAGAGTTCCAGGACAGCCAGGGATCTTGTCTCAAAAGAAAAATAAGATCATTCTTTCTATAATTTTTAATTGTTTTTGGTTGGAGTTGTATTCTCCTAAGTCTTCATAGGTTATTCCTTTTTCTTTTAAAGATTTATTTTATTTTTATTTATGTGCATGTGTGTATGTGCCCACAGAGACCAGAAGATATCGTTGGATACTCTGCTACTAGGTCCTCTGGCCCTGTTTTCTTTCCCTTCCTTCTTTCCTTTCTTCCTTCCTCCCTCTCTCTCCCTCCTTTTTTCTGTTCTTTCTTTCTTTCTTTCCTACTCTGACTAATGCTTCCATGAGCATTCACATACAAGATTTTATGTGGATATGTATGTGTTTAGTTTATTTCACAGGTAGATATCTAAGAGTAAAACTGCTTATGTCAAATAGTAACTCTAAACTTTTGAGAGACTGCATGTTAGTATAAACCAAGTGTATTGGTTTATACTTGGAAAAGTAAAGACAGTTCTAATTTCTTTCTATCCTCAGTAGTTTGTGTCAGTATCCGATTTCTTCCCTGGCCACCCTAGCAGGTGTTCAGGGTTACCTCATCATGGTTTTGATTTTCATTTTCTTGTTGACCAAGGAGAATGACCATGAACATGTTGCTACCTGCCTACTGGCCATATCTGCATCTTTAGAGAAATGCCTATTTGAATGCTTTAATCAAATTCTTTTTATCATAGGAGTCTCATATATTTTGTATATTAACCTGGTTTTTGTTTAAATTCCTAATCATTACACAGATGTCAACCCAAGCTCCGTAGCTAGGAATGGGTTTCTCACTGGTTCACGGTGACACCTGGAAAACAAGTAGTCTATTCTGGTGACAAGTGTGCTCCTCCTTGGTACTCAGGAGACCTGGGTGGCCACAATGGCCACTTTGTGCTACTGATTCCCACCCCCACACCACCTCACTCCACAGCTTGCCTGTATGGCTCCCATCCTGGTCACAGCAGCCTTGTGGTGGGGGGCTTATTCTTAGCACCCTTGTTTTAAAGAGAAAACTGAGGCTCGTGTGTTAGCGACTTAAGGGTAAACCGGTGTAAATAATTAGAGGGCTGCCACAAACTTGCACTAGGAAGGAGATTTGGGCAGAACTGACTGAAATCCCAGTTCTCTTCAGGGTGCCCCCTCCCAAACAAGACCCCTCCCCCACCTCAGGGCACAAAAAGACAGTAGCTTGAGACCAGAAGGCCAAGTGGGACGTGACACAGGCTTTACCCTGGTGACTCCTCTCCAACAGTTTGCCCAGTATGCTGAGATTGTGAACTTTACCCTCCCAGATGGGACTCAGAGGAGTGGTCAAGTGCTTGAAGTGTCTGGGACCAAAGCCATTGTTCAGGTCAGTGTGCCAAAGGGAGGTGTGAGCTCCCAATTCCAAGCCTGGGCAGGAAGGATGGCCGGTTTCCCAGAGAAGGCCCTCACAGAGCTGTGCCCCGAGCGCCCACAGCGGGAGGCCCCATTTCTTTCCAGCTAGCCCCCCAGAACAACGACCCCTAACTCACAGGTGTTTGAAGGGACCTCAGGGATCGACTCCCAGAAGACCACCTGTGAATTCACAGGGGACATCCTTCGGACTCCTGTGTCAGAGGACATGCTGGGTGAGAGTCCAGTGGCAGGGTGGGCACGCCTCTGTCTTTCCCTCCTGGCATTTCTAACCAAGCCCTGCACTGCGTGTGTACGTGTGTTTCCTGTGTGCCCCTCTGCATGTGCACCTGTGTTTCCTGTGTGCCCCTGAAGCCAGAGGTTTTATTTTCTCTTCTAGCTCCCATCTCCAGTGCAGGGCCCAATACAGAATGTGCTCAATAGGGAAGGAGTGAGGTTAAGTCATCGCAGGTGGAGCTCAGGGCCCTTCCTCACCTGCCTGATCCTCTGATTAGTCATCAGCCCGGGCCCAGGCCAGTGGTCAGGGTGACTCCAAAATGCCTTGCCTGTGAAAATTCTCAGAAGAGGAAGGAAGACACCCTGTCCTTTGCCGGGACAGTCATGGAAGTCGGCCATGTGTGATGGTGGTGGGGGGCTGAGGAGGAAGGGAGCACAGCATGATGGGATTCTAGAGAAGGAGTATGTGGAGCTGGTGGCCGTGCAGAGGCTGAGAGCCCTGACACCTTCCTGTTCCCCTTGTCCCTCCCAGGTCGGATTTTCAATGGCTCTGGCAAACCCATCGACAAAGGGCCTGTTGTCATGGCAGAGGAATTTCTGGACATTAATGGTGAGAGAGTGGAAGCTCTTCCAGGCTTTGAGGACACAGCCCCAGCACCTTCCCATCCAAGCCATCATCGCTATGATCTTCCCTTGGAAGTCATGCAGGGACCTAGGCCAAGCAGTGCAAGGCCATGGCTGCAGCCCCATGATTGGCCAGATAAACCGGCAGATCGGCAAAGACCCTGTCCCCAGATCCACCATAGAACCCCAGACTGCTCCTAGCACTCCATTCTGTCATTGCACAGCACCTCTGTGGCCTTTAGTTCCCTGTGCTGTGTTCTGGGAGTCCCAGTGGGGGAGGCTCACAGCAGAGATGGACCCCTTGCCAGGACCCCAGCTACTCTTCAGGAGCCCTTCCCGATTCCCCGTTTCATCAGTTTTCTGAGGCAGCAATGAAGGCCTGTGGAGTCCCCTCGTTTGACCAAGGCCACACGGCAAAGTAGTGGCAAAGCACACGTCTGTTCACAGTCTCTGAGTCACCCTCAGGTGCCTAGATGCTGAGGGCCCTGCCTAGTTAAGGCGCTAAGGCAATGCTAGCTAAGACAGCATGGAGCCACGGCTTTTTAAACGTGAACCAATTCAAACGAAAGGAAATTTCATTTTTAAATTGCATCTCATATCACAAGAGCCATGAGTTCCCGGGTGACACTGCACACAGTTCCACTGTTGCAGAAGGGGTACTGAACAGGCTGGTTGGCAGAGGGAGACAGCAATGGTGGGCGGTGCTTGGAAGAGCTGGAGCCTGAGCCTGGCCTCATGATCACCCCTCCCAGGCCAGCCCATCAATCCCCACGACCGAATCTACCCTGAGGAGATGATCCAGACAGGAATCTCTCCCATTGATGTCATGAACAGCATCGCCCGTGGCCAGAAGATCCCCATCTTCTCTGCAGCTGGGCTGCCCCACAACGAGGTAAGGGATGCATAACCCAGGGTCAGGGACAAGCAGAGGCCTGGGCTTCCGGCTAGCACTGAGCACTTCTGTGCCAAGCAAAGAGTATCTGTAGGAATGACCAGCATCCACCCTGGCTGGTGTTTCCTGGCAGCTCAGGGCCAGGGCTGCATAAGAGGCTCTTCAACATGCACAGTCATGCATTGCTCTGGAAAGGGCTGCATGCTGTCCCCTAGTGAATGGAGTGCTCACTGGCTTCAGAGAGCCCAAGTAGATTCCAGTGTAGAAGCCCTGCTCAGCTGAGCCACAGCATGTGTTAGGCGGTCCTTGTGCCAGCGTTTGTCTGACTGCCACCACTAAACAAAAACCATGTGGTCCTCTCAAAGCCACCGGTGTGACAAGGTTTCTAGATATCCTTTCCTCACCACTCCTGCCAACTCTTTCAAGAGTCTCCCTCCCCACCACATCTTGGTTTGGGACAGAGGGCTCTCACAGCCACACACATTTAGTCCAGTAGGCTGTGGGAGGTACAGACTCTGAAAGCCTCGGCTATTGTAAGCTAAAGTTCCCAAATTCACACCAACTATTGCTCTTTGTGGATACTACCCTGCTCCTTGTGACAGGTGCCTTCAACTCCTTAGTAGCCAAGAGAACAGACCAACCCTGAGAAAGACTGTGGGACCCAGGGCAGTCCCCCACTCTCCTGGGCTTGGACTCTCCCCTCCCCAAGTTTCTAACCATCCATCCTCAGCGAGGCTCAGCAGGCCAGATGTCACAGGCCTCTGGTCCTGATTGCGTCCCTCCTGGCCCATCCTGTCTCAGATTGCTGCCCAGATCTGTCGCCAAGCCGGGCTGGTGAAGAAATCCAAGGCTGTGCTGGATTACCATGAGGACAACTTCGCCATTGTCTTCGCAGCCATGGGGGTAAGGGGAGCTGGAGGCAAGTTCCAGAAACCGTGAGAAACAGCCTTGCCTGCCTTTGCTCTAGCACGTTCTGATGGGGAACACTGAATCCTGCACCCTGAGAAGCCCCTAAAATTCAGGACCGTCTGGAGGCAGAGACCACAGCATGACTAAAGGGGGCAGGGATGGACTCAGTGCCCAGGGCAGAGGGACCCTAGAGCATCCCAAGGTCACAGGAGCTATAAGATGGGCCGTACTTGGCATGGAGTAGAATCCCAAGAAACCTACAGAGACAAGATATCTTCTGATACCAAGGGTCCTCAGAGGGCTCAATTGGTGACTGAGGAGCTGGGTAGGGAAGTAGCTGGCCAAGGGAGGACAAGAAGAAGCTGGAGGTTAAAAAGGCAGAGTTTGGGGGGAACTTGCTAAGTCTCTCCTGGGCCCTACAGCCACCTCAATGATTGTTCACCTATCTGCCTAGTGACTGTTACACTGAAAAGCTGGTCATGCCTAAGCCCCATCCTCAGCCACATGGCCTGCCTATTGCTCCCTGGCTATGTGTCTAGGTGAATATGGAGACAGCCAGGTTCTTCAAGTCAGATTTCGAGCAGAATGGAACCATGGGAAATGTCTGCCTCTTCCTGAACTTGGCCAATGACCCTACGTGAGTCCTTCCTAATGCTCAGACTGCCTTTGGAGCCTTCCCTGTTCCTAGACCTGGGATCCTGGGGTTCAGAGCATCCAAGAACTATAGCCATGGGCTAGAGCTGTGAGAATAACTCTTGTTTGTACAGAAAGGGAAACTGAGGCCTGGGGCATGCTGGGAAGCCAGACCAGGACCCCACCTGCCCCTCTGCTTTCCTCATACCTGTGCCACAGCAACTGTCCCAGTCAAGAAGCCTCACCCATGCATCTCCTCCACAAGGCCATCACTGGAGAGACCTTTGTCTGTGGCATTTATTTAGAAAATGCTCTATTTTGAAAGTTTGGAAGGTGGGATAAAATTAAAAGTCTAATAATTTATCCTGGGTATTGAGGGTTCCCCCAGACTAAATAGCAGAGTTCTGGAGGCTGAGCTGGCATTGCTAAGAGAAGATCCACAGGCCCAGAGCCCAGAACTGAAAGCAGCCAGCGAAAGGAAGCACGCTCAGGAGCGCCAAGCAGGACAGAGATGGTTTTGGCATCAGAATTGACCAGGAACCCCAGGCTGGGTTCATCTTATGTGTTTCCCTGCCACCATGTACATGCCATCCTCCCAGCCAACCTTACACGCCATTCTGGGCCTTCATGGGGCCCAGGCCTGCGCCTCCAGGCCCCTGAGCCCTGTCATGCTTGGCTTCCAGGATTGAGAGGATCATCACCCCTCGTCTGGCACTGACCACAGCTGAGTTCCTTGCCTACCAGTGTGAGAAGCATGTGCTGGTCATACTGACTGACATGAGCTCCTATGCAGAGGCTCTGCGTGAGGTATGCTGGCTGACAGGTGTCAGATTCAAACCACCCCCCTCTCTGTTTCTCCCTTGGCCTCGAGTCCCTCATCTGGGTCTGCTCCTCTCAGAGGGTCTCAGGGTTCAATCACAGGCTGGCACTCCTCTTCTGTCCCCTCAGTCCAACCTCCTAATCTCCCTCCCCTTCCTGAGTCTGGCCTCTCACCTCCCGACATACCTGCCATGTGGCTATTGCAGGTCTCAGCTGCCAGAGAGGAAGTGCCAGGGCGCCGAGGCTTCCCGGGATATATGTACACAGACTTGGCCACCATCTATGAGCGAGCCGGTCGTGTGGAGGGTCGGGGTGGCTCCATCACCCAGATCCCCATTCTCACCATGCCCAATGACGGTAGCCTCCGACACACCCTGCCATCCAGAGCCCACCCCATTTCCACCAGCCACCCCATCCCTCCCATGCTGAAAGCAGAACTCCTGTGTCCCCAGGTAGATGAGAACCCCGCCCCACACACTGAACAGGGTATTTGCTTGCAGATATCACCCACCCTATCCCGGACTTGACTGGCTTCATCACAGAGGGACAGATTTATGTGGACAGACAGCTACACAACCGGCAGGTACTGTTCCCTCTGATAGCGGCCTCATTTCTCCCCACATCTGTTCCCTTACCCCCCTAAAAAGAGTTACGCATCACTCCTATGTAGGAAAGCGGAGAGAGAGGCCTGCCCAAAGTCACACCATCAGGAGCAAGGCACTGGGGGAGCCTTGCTTCATAGCTAGCCACAGGCTGGCCCACTTGGCTATGGGACCTTGAGAAAATGATCCTAATGTCTGCGACCATGTCTATGTAGCACACCAATGTTCTGGGGGTACATTAACATATATGAAGCATGTGGAGAGCACTAAATAAAGAGCGTTTCTCTCCCACTTACGGTAGCTTTAGTGACACTCAATAGGGATGACAGGGCTGGGGCTCATTTGGTTAAGAGCCTGCCCAGCAGGGCTGGAGAGATGGCTCAGTGGTTAAGAGCACTGGATGCTCTTCCAGAGGACCTGAGGACCCGAGTTCAGTTCCCAGCAACCACATGGAAGCTCACAAACATCTATAATAGGATCTGATGCCCTCTTCTGGCCTGCAGGCATACATGCAGAGCACTCATAATAAATGCAGAGCACTCATAATAAATAAATGAATGAATGAATAATAAAAAAGAGTCTGCCAAGCATGTAGGAAGTCCTGGGTTCTATCCTCAACACTACATAATCCAGGCAACAACACAACCTGCAATCCTAGTTAGGGAGGTGGAGGCAGGAAGATCAGAAGTTCAAGGTCATCCTTAATTACAAAGTACCTTTGAGCCGGGCGTTGGTGGCACACACCTTTAATCCCAGCACTCGGGAGGCAGAGGCAGGTGGATCTCTGTAAGTTCGAGGCCAGCCTGGTCTACAAAGCGAGTTCCAGGAGCCTCCAAGACAATACAGAGAAACCCTGTCTCGAAAAACCAAAAAAAAAAACAAAAAAAAACCAAACAAACAAAAAACAAAGCACCTTTGAGTAGGGATAGCCTGGGCTACAAGACACCCTGTCTCAAAAGATACACACACACACACACCACACAAATTAAGCTTCAACTTGCTTGTACAAATAATCCGATGTTTTGAAATAGTGTTTCATTAATTAATTTCACCTCATTGCCCCTAGCTCCAGCTTCCTTCCTGCGTGGACTCACTTATGTAGACAACCCTCACTCTCTTCCACCTGGTAACCAAGGCCTAGAACCTGTGGGGAATAAGGCAGGTGGAGGGTAGCTGCTCACTTTTCTGTAGGATGAAGAATGGTCTTCTGAGAAGGGTGTGGAGGAGTATAGGAATGACAGGAGAGCCTGAGTCCTGCCTCCTGCTACTCTCTTCTGCTCCCCAGGTCTATCCCCCCATCAACGTGCTCCCTTCCCTGTCACGGCTGATGAAGTCGGCCATAGGTGAGGGCATGACCAGAAAGGACCACGGAGATGTCTCCAACCAGCTGGTAAGGAGGGGGGGCGGTGGATGCGGTAGCTGGAGTTCTGAACCCCGCCTGGACAAGAAGTTCCTGTCTGGGCAAAACTGGTACCCAGCAAGGGGAGCCCAGCGAGCAGGGGTGGTGAGCCCATGCTGCCCTTCCGTAGTATGCCTGCTACGCCATCGGAAAGGACGTGCAGGCCATGAAAGCGGTGGTGGGGGAGGAGGCACTCACCTCGGAGGACCTGCTCTACCTGGAGTTTCTGCAGAAGTTCGAGAAGAACTTCATCACCCAAGGTGGGGTGCGGCGTGGGGCGGGCCGGGACCTGGACCGCCTGGCCCTCCCCTTCTGGACCTTCACGATTCTGCGTGGTCCCCAGGTCCCTATGAGAACCGCACCGTGTTCGAGTCGCTGGACCTGGGCTGGAAACTGCTGCGCATCTTCCCCAAAGAGATGCTGAAGCGCATCCCGCAGAGCATGACAGACGAGTTCTACTCCCGCCAGGGGGCGCAGCAGGACCCCGCATCCGACACCGCGCTCTAGGGTAGCCCCCGGCTACAGCCTTCTCGCTTATGGTCCAGCCCTGTCTCTGCCCTATGTTTTAAGGGTGGGGGCTCTTTTTAGGGGCATGCTGAACTCCACCTCAGTCCTGTACTTTTATTTTAGAAGCCCCTCCTCCAAAGATACAGCTGAAATGGAAAACAAAAACGGTAACTGAGATAGATGAATTTGTCTCCGATGAAAACAAGATTGGGAAATTTTGGTTAATTGTTGAAGGTGAAGATGATACCATGTGGTTTGTAAAAGTATTTAAAAAGAAAAATCTAGTTGGACATAGTGGAGCACTCTTTTAACCCCAGCACTCAGGAGGTGGCAGAGTCAGGCAGATTTCTGTCAGGTATAATACCCTGTCTCAAAAAATAAAAAAATAAAAAGTAAGGAAAACTCGGTGCCTAAGCATCTGATAACAGAATTCCTCTTGGGGAAGTATTTACAGTTCAAATAAGAGCTGAGCTGATGTGACTGAATGGTAAAGAGTTTGCCTTCGGAAACCCAAAGTCCCAGTCCCGGCACCACATAAACCAGGAGGATCAGAAATCAAAGGATATCCTCTGCTACACAGCAAGCTGGAGGCCAGCCCGAGCTACATGAGACCCCATTTCAAAAAATAAAATAAAATATGAAAGGGCTGTGGCTATAACCTATTAGTAAAGTGCCTGCCTACTATACATGAAGTCTATGGGTGGGTCCCTACACATGAAGTCTATGGGTGGGTCCCTACACATGAAGTCTATGGGTGGGTCCCTACATATGAAGTCTATGGGTGGGTCCCTACACATGAAGTCTATGGGTGGGTCCCTACACATGAAGTCTATGGGTGGGTCCCTACACATGAAGTCTATGGGTGGGTCCCTACATATGAAGTCTATGGGTGGGTCCCTACACATGAAGTCTATGGGTGGGTTCCTAGCCCCACGAAATAAGATGGCTCAGCTGGTAAAGCACTTGCCACCAAGCCCGACTGCCTGACTACCTGAGTGTGGTCCCCAGGACTGGCATGGTGGGAGGAGAACACCAACTCCTAAGCTATCTTCTGACTTTCATGTACACACACACACACACACACACACACACACACACACACACGTTAAGGGAGGAGGGAAGTGAGCTGTGTGGGGTGGCTCACACTTTTAATCCTACTACTAGGAAGCAGCAGCAGGTGAATCTCTGAATTCTAGGCCAGCCTGGTCTACATAGTGAATTCCAGGACAACCTAGGCTGTATAGTGAGACCTGTCTCAAATAAAGTTCAGGAGGGAGGGAGGGAGGGAAGGAGGGAGCTAGGGAGGGAGGGAGGGAGGAAGGAAGGAAGGAAGGAAGAAAGGAAGGAAGGAAGGAAGGAAAGTGGATGATGAGTATTCTAAACCCAGATGTCCCGGCTGCCTGCTCTTCTTCAACGCCATCCCCTCCACATCTCCCAGAACTGCAGTTACAGATTGTGAGCCACCCTGTGGGCTCTGGAATCCAAACCTGGCTCCTCAGCAGGAGCGGCCAGTGCCTTTAACTGCTGAGCCACCTCTCCAGCTCCCTAGTCTGCTACTTCCTTCCTGTGCCCTTTCACATCTGCCATTGGGCCCTTGCTCTATTTTTCAGTGTAGTTTGCAGTTCCAGAATGTCCACTTTGTTCTCTTTAACCAACAACTCTGCATCAGTGTGCTGTGCTTAGTAAGATGTTGTCCCATTATTTATGCCACGGTTCCCTTTAGCCCTGCGAACACGATTATAAGTACTACTTAGAACTTTTGTTAAGTCTGGCATCTGGGCCCCTTCCCAACAGTTTGTGTGTTGCCCAATTTTATTTTTATTTCTGCTTTTGGGTTATGGTTTTCCATTTCTTTGTCCATCTCACACTTTTTCTTCTGAGAACTGCTATTTCCAGTAATGTATATTAGCAACTCTGATCTGCCCATCCCTCTCTCTGGGACTGGTTGCTCGTGTGTTGGTGTCCAGGATGGATGATTTTAGTGATGTCTTTCCCCTCTCTTGAAACCTTGGATGTAACTACTTCTGGAAACAACCCTGTATACACAGCCACTCCGGGGGTGTGATGGTCTAAGTAGGATATCCTTGTTGACTGATCTCTGTTTAACTTTCTGCCTCTGCTGATCTAACACCCAGCTTTTAGCCCTCACTAATTTCCAGCCTCTTGTTCTATTTCCCATGATGCCTCTGAGGATTAAACTGTGGAGATCATTTTTATCAAAGACCTGATTGGCATGTGTTCTGACCTAGAAGGCCTCCTCTAAGCTGTCTCTCCTGAGTGTGCTCTGGTAAACCAATTGACCTATTAGCTTTTTTATTGCTTGCCATCCAAATCTCCAGGATTTGAGCTTCTCCACATTTAGAAAACAACAACTTTCCTTTGCTAGGAATTTTTAGAACTTTCAATACCCACAGATTGACTGGGTATAAACTCAAGTCCCTCTGTGGGTGAATGAACCACTTTTCTCAGTAATGTCCTGGTTTTTATTTATTTTTTTAAGACTTTGAGCAGTCAGAACTCAAGAGTCCCACCTGCCCTTTGGAAAGAATAGCTGCCCTGCTCCTGAGCACTTGATGGAGGAATCCTTAGTCTTTCCACATAGCTCCCCGGGCTGTGGCTTGGAGCTAGTGACAGAAGGAGAGGCAAAATGGCATCTTGTTCTTCCCAGTGAAATGTCATATATCTCCAGAGCTGGAGAGAGGAAGCCCCATTCTCTCAGCCACACACACACACTTTGGAGCTTCTGCAATTGCTCTGAAGTAGGGGTGGAGGCCAGGAATGGGCCACAGCTCAAACACCACGAACCCTCCTGTTACTAAGATTTCAACTTCTGTAACTACTTCCTCATTTCTTTTTTGCCTTAGGGCTAGGATCTTCTTTGTTTTCGTTTAATTTTTAGCTTTGAGAGAGTTTCACTATGTAGCCCTGGCTAGCTGGGAACTCACTGTATAGACCTGGCTGGCCTGGAATTTGTAACCTTCCTGCCTCTGCCTCTGGAATGCTGGGGCTGCAGGTGTGCATGGCCACGCCTGACTCACCCATTATTTCTTAACATAATTTCCATCTCTCCTGGTTGTTTCTGAGGATTGTATCTGCAGAGTGCCTGTGCTTCCTTCAGAAATGGAGGCCAAGTACAGAGATTTGGAACATGCTTATCCCACATATCAGTTAAATGCTTAGCCCACATATCAGACACCTAGAATATGTCAGAATCAGTCTCTCCCTCTCTCTCTCTCTCCCTCCCTTTCTCTCTCTCTCTCTCTCTCTCTCTCTCTCTCTCTCTCCCCCTTTCCCCCCCTCTGTGTGTGTGTGAACACACACACACACACAACCCAGGAATCTTCCTGTCTCCACCTTCTCAGTGCTGGGGTTGCAAGCATGTTATTTGACCACATGGATTCTGGGACTCTGAAATCAGGTCCTCACACTTGTGTGGCAAGCACTTTACCAATTAATCCATCTCCCCTAACCCCACATTCTGGATGTCTCTTGGGCTCGTTTTAGACCATCCTGGTACTTACAGGGTAGATGATGAAGTAAACTCCTGGGGTCTACAAGGAAACTGCCCATCTGAAAACACCACTGTAAGGGATTAGCTATCTGCCCACTGGCCTCTTTGATGGCTCATGAGAAGGATCTGCTCAGAATGGGTGTGGCAATGGAGTGCTAAGGAAAACAGATGGGGAGAGGCCACAGAGCTTTCTGGAATATATCCTCTCTCTAGTGTTCAGCCCTGACTAGACCTCTCCTCAGTGCTGCCAACATCCCAGACACAGCCTTTCTCCAATCTGATCCTACAGGCAAACATTCCCTGCTCTACCTGCTAGGACTTGTCATTCAAATTCCATTTCTCTCCCAAGTACAGATGCCCACCCCACAAAGACAACATTAGCTCTCCTGGCACCCAGGATGCTGACCTGGAAGCCCTATTTCCTGTCCATTACTAGCACAGTCAGGCCCTAGACCCCAAGAGAGCACAATGACTGCTGGGATCCAACTGGGTCCCTGCCTCTGCTCTGATAGCAGCAGCAGAAGTGAAAGTGAGATTGAACGCCCAGCCCTCGCCCCATGCAAGCGTGCCCCTATGCAGACAAGCCAGGCCTGGCAGCCCAAGCACAATTCCTCACTCTCATTTATTTGCTGTTGTCCAACAATGCAGAGATGACTCTCAGTGTCCCTTGGGTGTCATAGTGCCCTAGCCCACACAGCTCATTCCAGGGGCCATCATACCAGTCCTAACCATTGGACCCCATGGAGGATTTAACCAAAGACCTTCTTGCTATTTAGGCTTTCTTTTTTTTTTTTTTTTTTTTTTTTTTTTTTTTTTGGTTTTTACGAGACAGGGTTTCTCTGTATTATTTTGGAGGCTATCGGTCCAGCCTGGCCTGGAACTCACAGAGATCCGCCTGCCTCTGCCTCCCGAGTGCTGGGATTAAAGGTGTGTGCCACCACCGCCCGGCTACTATTTAGGCTTTCTGAACGTGACAGAATCCCAATCCAGAAGGACGATGAAGAGATTTTGGGATGGTGTGGGACAGCAAGCCTTGCACGCTAGGGACAGTACCCTTCTGTGTCCTGTGCCCTCTCTGATCACTGCCCCCTCACCCAGTCATCCATCTCCCTTGCCAATTAATCACTCTGGAGCCATGCCAGTACCCCTACTCGCCAAGGGGAATTCTGACATTTCTCTTGGTGGATTGTCTGCTGTTTTACCAGGCCCTCTGCCCAGCTGCATGGATCTGGCTAAAGGGTCCTCAATAAGAGCATCCTTCCTTTCTGAGGCTCTGCCAAACTTCCCCATCTTCTTGACCCTTTCTGGTGACTCTCCTGCCTCAGGAGTCCTCTTTCCTCCTCAGAAAGAACATAAAGGCAGGACTACCTTAAAGTAGTTCCTAACCGTGGCTGCATGGGGAAACCACTAAGAGATTTTGTCAAATATCCACACCTGGGCCCCACACCACACCAATTAATCCAAGCCTATTGGTATACGTGATCTGTGTTGGTCTCCTCACTCCTGGGTGATTATGATATGGCATGAAGACTATAAAATATGAGGTAGAAGCAGGTGGTTTAGGAGTTTAAAACCAGCTGATTACAGCAAGTTCAAGACCAGCATGGGCTATACATTAAAAAAAAAGCCTAAATAAATGAAACAAATTTTAAAAAACAAAGTTAAGACTGCAAAGTACTCCAGATGCAGATAACATCTGCAAGCCCCCACGGTCATCACACATCCAAACACCCTCAGGAGCAGCAGTTGCCCCCACACCCATTCCAGGGACCAGATAACCCTCAGTATTTGATCTTACTTTATCCTAAAGTCAGTTGGTAAACTCCACTTGCAACAGGAAAAGCTGTGATTTGCTAGTTTTGAAGGTGCCTGGCGGGAGTGCCAATTCCTGATCCCTAGGGTTCTCAAGAAAATGAGGTTCACTAGCCATGCCTTCATTTCCAATGTGAGTTTGTTTGGTATACAACAGCAAACAAGCAGGTAGCCAATAGCAGCAGACAGAGGGCATCCATCCAGTCAGGCACTCAAAACATCTGTCCAGGACAACTGGGCTAGCACGACTGAGAGCAAACAAGGACAACACACCAAGCTGGAGCTTTCAAATCCAGCAGGAACTCCTCTCCATGGGTGAGCGTCCCCACGACTCA